AGGATGCGTGCTCGTGTGAATGAGGCCAAACCCATAACCATAAGGTCTTTTGCACACCAGAGTAAAAAAATGCTGATTTTTTACTTGTCTATAGAATTACTAAAGAATTTTACTTGTCTATACTCATCTATAGAGACAGTTTTTGGCACCTTGCACACGGGTGTCAGTTCCTGAGTAAACATCAGTAAATTATGCCCGTGTGCAATGGACTGAACTTTTGAGGCCAGCTGCTTAAAGGATAAGTTCACCTTTGGGAACATGTTACATGTTCCTCCCGGGTTTAGGGTGGAACGTATAACACGTTCCCATAGCCATAGCTGCTGCCCACCGCCCTCCCCCTCCCTCTGACAGATGGTACAGGAAGAAGTCTCCCCATACTATCTGTTAAATTTGAAAACAGCGCGCACACCCTCCGCCCACACGGACGCATCATTCATTCACGGACTTCCAGAGCAGCTGTCGGCTTGCAGTTTTCAGTTAACTACTACGGTAGTTCATTAAAGCTTCCTATCAGAATTTCTGCTTGCTCGTACAATCCCATACGGCAAGCAGATATTCTGACAGGTTTGCAGGAGACCTGCATGGCATCGGCAATCTACTGATCGCTGGTGCAATGCTTTCCAGGCTCCTATAGACAAAAAGAATAAATGCACATTGTTTTAACTGCAAAATAATGTGCATTTTATTATTTTTGTCTAAAAGGTCAACTTATCCTTTAACCTCCCTAGCGGTATTCCCGAGTGTAGCTCGGGGTAAAATGTCAGTACCAAAAAGCGGTAACCCCGAGCTACACTCGGGCTTACCATGCGGCGCTGCATAGGGATTCCCTGCGACGGGAAATTTGAAAATTTTAAAAGTCATTTTTTTCCAAACAAATTTTACATAGTAAAACATTGCTGTTTCTACCCATTTCACATACATTTTGTCCCTAGTGCTTTGTCCTGTGCCCTGCCTGCATTTTGTCTGTTCTTTCTGCCTGGAAACTGAGAAACGTCCATGGCGTCTAAAAAGGTCAAAAGCGGGTTTAGATCAGCTAGAGAACAGCGATAGTAAATCAGAACCACTTGCAGAATTGAGTGATAATGATTCGTGGGGAAATTCGTCATCAGACACTGAAAACGATTTTGCGACTTTGCTCAGCGATGTGCGAACTTGGCGCTCTATTTCAAATTTCAGTGTTTTTGGTTTGATTATATTATTGAATTAAATGTATTATTATTTTTTATGATTATTTATTAAATTATAATTTATGATTTCGTGTTTCAAATTTTATCATACCCGGGATGTTTAATAGACTCTTGTTCGGACAGATTTCAGTGAGTTATTCCTAAAAAATTACAGCCTACAATAAAAAAACTACATATTTCCATGCAAAATAATGGTACCGCTTTCAGCACCAAAAATCTGAAATAATCCTACCGCTAGGGAGGTTAAAGCCCAAGTTCACTTTTGTTGAAAACATGCAAAAGTATCTTCTACCACAAAACTACCACCTAGAATTTTTTTTAATAGAATAGTGATCTATTGAAGTTCCCTAAATTCATTACTGCTAAAAATTACAGTAATGGTTTAATCAACTTTTCTATTGCACAAAAGCATCCCTAATATAAGCTAAGTGCTATAGGATCTCCCCACTCCACTCAAATGTTGGCCAGATAGGTCTCCGATTGTGTAAAATCTGGAACAAGACTAAGTTTCACATCCTTGCTAGAGTCAAAGTAAGTGGTTGTGTAATAACTAAGCACACTGTTATCTCCATGATTTAATGATTTGACTGGAATTTCTGTTCTGCCTAAACCTCCAGGCATTGTACTTTAACTCAGCCTATTGAATTTGAGCATAATTTCACCTGCTATGTGTAGTAGCAAAACCACCTGAGCAGAAAATTGTTACTGTGCAATAGATCAGACTTGCTTATTTATTCAAAAGTTTATTTAGAAAGGTTCAACATTTCCACTGAACAATTTTCATCACGGAATGTGTTCAAAGGTGCAATTTCCTAACACTTCTCAAAATGCTTTACCTAAAGGCCAGAAGGAGATTTCTTGAAGGAGAGCCTAGCAGAAGTTGTGGGGAATCAATTTATTGGACAGTCTTTTACAGAAACATTTAAGAAATGAACTTTCAAGCCTTACTAACCTTTGAAGGTTCTTAGCCAAGGCAGTGTATGCTTTATTAGAAGGGAAGATGCAACATTTTAAAAGTGATAAAGGTTTTAGACAAAATAATGAAACACAATCTTAACAAAAGGTACAGTGTATTTTTATATGTGTGTAATCCAAAATATAAGGTGGGACTCACAGGGCTTGAAAGGTGAACACTCACTGATATGGTTTATTTCCACCAGACACATGCTCATCTCCCTTAGGTCCTGAGGAAGTAGAGCTTTTGCCCCATTCAGTCTTACCCTGGCGTTCACATAAAATCCCAGGCAGGGTGCATTTCCAAGTGTGAATGCACCCTAAACTTCACTAAAACCCGGAGATTTGATTTACCCCCTGCTCATTCCGAGCCTGACTTTGAAATCATGCGACTTACTGTGAAGTCGCGCAATTTTAAAGTCAGATGTTATTAAGACTTGCGGTGCGACTTGCAAGACATCTGTCTAGATGTCTATGCAAGTCACACCTAAAGTAGTGCATGCACTACTTTAGAAAAGGGTGCTGCTCTGACCAAGTTGGAACCGCTCGGATATGACCGCTCTAATTGCGAACAATAGGGTACGACTTGGAATGCGGTTTGCAAGACGCATGGCAAACAAATAGCATGCCAAGTTGCACCCAGTGCGACCTGGGTCTTAGGCCCCTTTCACACAAGGCAGATCTGCTTTGTGATCAGCAGACCTATCCCCTGCTGAGCGGAGGGATGACAAGTCTGTATCTGCTCACTTTATGTAGAGCGGGCATGGACCAAGCCCACTCTGCTGTATGAGGGACTGGCTGTCCGTTTACACCCGACTGCCTCTGATCCGCCTACATGGAAGAGGACAGAATCTTTTGTTTGTTTTTCGTGGTCCGGATTGGAGGTAGGTAGGTGGGTGTAAACGGAGACAAGTCTGTTTTACGCCTGCCGATCCACAGAGATGAATGCACTGTCTGATTAGGTCTGTCTAAAAAAAAATTGACAGGCACCTGATCGGAATTGTCGTGTGCAAAGAGCCTAAAACCAGCTCAGCTGGTGCAATTGTCCTTGTTTATATCATCATTCTACAGGACAATCATTCAGGAGTTGGATTGTCATATTATTGTCGTATGGCTGTGGCTACCTTAGCAGTATTTTCCTTTAATAAATGCTTTGTTTTACATGTTCAAAAAGTATCGGTTCTTTAGCTATATGAAAATTTTTGTTTTGATCCATGTTTCTTGGTTGTTTACCCTGGGCACTCCTAGAACTTGATTACAGTTGAGAAATGAACATTGGATAGTTGAGTTACAGAGCAGAAATGTTGTTCTGTATGTACAAATTCCTTCTCCTGTGACTCTTCACAGCTGATCAGAATGCACACGGAGTAAGTGCATCTAGCCCGCTGCTTTCAGATGCATCAAATTGTCAAGTATGAGAAGCCCAGGGGACACTAGAAGAAAATAAATTTGTCTGCCAACTAAAGAAGCAAAATTGCTTTTCTTAACTGGTGAACTGCTGAGGAGCACTGGATTCCCATCATGCTGGGCTTGTATATTATGCAGCTAGCTGAGCAAGCAGTTAGTATGAGGAATCTATAATGCACAGTCAATATATAGTGTATTTCACTCAATTTTAATAAGAAAACTGTAAAATCTATTTTTATATTACAATATGGTTATAGAAAGGTTTGTTTTCTTATTGTTGTATTACTTGTTAAAGTTAAACTGTTTTAACTTTAGAATCAATTTAAAGTGTTACTAAACCCAGGACCCTGCATTCACTAGATCTGATCTCCCACAGTACAGAGAACATGGAAATTCAGTTATTTTCGTAAATATAGACTGCTAAATACCTTTTCTGTTCAGCAGTATATAGCAGTCTTGTGACTTCTATCAGTGTCCCCCTGAGCACTGGTTAAAGCTTGTAGGAGGAGTTTTCATTCTGCTCTGACTGTCCTATGAGGCTGCATAACCCCTGACCTTCTGAGCAGTGCTGATTGGCACTATGCTGATCACATACACCCTCCCAAAGAAGAAAAAAAAAAAAAACACTCTAGCAATATAGACTAAACTGAGCATGTGCAGAGTGACTCCTAGAGCTCTGTAACATCGGAATTGGAGACAGTAGAAGGCAAGGATCTGAGAAGACAGGATCAAAAAGCCTTTTTCCACAATGAGTATAACGAGCATGCTTTACTGCATATAAAGACTGATTTTACTGTTGTGTGTTTAGTAACACTTTAAGAGGATTATTTTATTAAATAAAGAGTATAGATAGAGAAATATACTTTAGAATTTATCTAAAATGTTATAAGCATTCATTCTTATAAACTTCTGCATGTCATACCCATGAAAGCTTTACCTAGGCAAGCTGCTAAATACACAGTTGAAATACATGTAATAAAACGGTGTTATCTGCTTAAAAGCTTTGTAATTGGTTTAATCCAGGCATCATCCACCTTTTGACTGTAACAGCTGAAAGTGTAATAGCTTGGATCCCCCCAAGACCTCATTATTCACCCAAGTGGATAACAAAGAAACAGAAGCATGCTGATAAGATCATCTCTCTGCTCAATCTGTTCTCCTCTCCTGACTCTCACTCTCAGCAAATGTACAGTGCAACAGAACTTCACTGGCTACTGGTGCTGTCCCTCTCCTAATCTATTCCCTGTAGAGGAGACTGAAATCCACATCAATTTTAAGTAGTTTACCAGTTGCATTTAAAAATATATGCAACCAAAATATTTGCAATTACTTGCTAATAATAATTCAGGAATTCATAACTGCATTTTTTGTTTAAAACCTGCCTATATTTATTTTAAGTGCAAAATGTGTCCATGAACAGATTTATCAGTGTTTAAATTTTTGTTTTACAAGGCAATGGATCTGTCTGTGGATGAGTCCAGCTTAACAGGCGAGACTGCTCCATGTTCTAAATCTACCACCCCACAACCAGCAGCTACTAATTTGGATTTAACATCGAGAAGCAACATTGCCTTTATGGGAACTTTGGTTAGATATGGCAAAGCAAAGGTGAGACTGTTTTTATGTATATTTTATTTTTAAATCCTTTTCATTACATGCACCCAGTAATTTAGCTAAAGCGTTCTTGAGAATAGAACTCATGGTTGCACAGCGATGTCCCTTCTGACCCAGGCATTGTTTTAATCAAATATAAATATAGGTAGTGCAGCGCTAAAAATGAAATATGAGAGTATACCAATGGTAATATGCAAAATAACAAATATGTAGCAAATATTAAAGCAACAATATGTCCTTAGGAAATTGTGGCAATGGTGAAGCTATGTCAGATACCTTCACTGATATTGTAATACAGTAGTATAACACACGGTGCAAATAATAGTGCTGAATAACTATGAATGGTAAACCACAATATAATTGAAAAAATGGTGACTTGATAGAATCCCAGTGGAACCTGTGATCCGGTGCAGTGCAGGAACAATAAGTAAATTGCACACTCACCAGAGGCACAATTTAACTGCGCAATTGTGTCATGTACACCAGAGGTCCCTTTGGTTGTGGATAGAGCGTGGCCTGGATTGGATAACTCCGCGATAGGTAATGGAACATCTGAGGGTCCCTTAGATGAGTTTGGTTCACGATAGGTTCTGCCAATTACAGCTCTCTTCTAGGCCCTGGGATGGTCACCTGGTGGTCCTGAGGAGTTAAATGCTCGTAGTGGAGCAGAAAGGAATACCCATAGTGTTGTATTTTTAGTTGAATCAAAAATTGAATTTATTCAGGATAAAAATAGAAAAGACACACTTCTCAGGTACTGTAATAGAAAAAAACAATCCTCGTGCACAAAGGATATAATAAAAATTGAATGCAGCATAACACTGACCAGCTGGTGAAAAAGGGGGGGGGGGGGCGACGGACGTCCCTGATCCGGGGGCTTGACGTCACGGGCTACTCCTTCATCCATCATCAGAAGGGTAAGCGCCATTGTTTTAATCAACATTTCTCCAAAAGCCAGAACTGCTATTAAGCCCTGGTTCACACTGATGTGGTCCAGAATTCACAGCGTTTTCTGTGCGAGTTCCGCACCGCATCAGAATCACACCCCGTTCATGCGAACCGCGACGGGTGTGTATGTTAAGTTAACACCCCGATATCGTTCCTCAAAACGCGGTGCGATGTGCAGAATCAGATCGCATAGGTGTGAGTACCCATGCGATCCGATTCTAGTGCGGACCCAAAAAAGGGTGCTGCACGTTTTTGGTGCGGATGCGGTGCGATTTGAGCCATACATAATGTATGGCTCAAATCGTACTGCACACATTTCACATGTGATTTGCACAAGAATGCAGTGCGGTTCCTGTGCAAATCACATGCGATGTACCGCACCGCATGAGTGTGAACCTAGCCTCAATCACGGGGTAGATTCTCCGCTTAACTGTTTTTTTTTTGTTGCAAAACTGTTCATTGAGCAGCAGAGGGGAGTAGCAACTGACAATTGTGTATGTCTCCTAGAAAGTACATTCCTAATTTCTTGTTGAGAGCAGAAATCCCCTTGAAACAAGTAGCAAGTGGATGTTGGCTGGTTGCCATGGGGCACTTTAGCTTGATTTACCTTGCATGGGTTTCTTTTTGTAGGTATATCATTTTGGCTTACGCAATAGTTTGTGCAATGCAGGTAATTTAGAGAGCTACCTTCATTTAAAAAGTAATTTTATCACTTTCAAATAAATTGTAACCATTTTTTAAACTACTTTTAAAATGAATAGTACTTGTAAACGCTTGGAAAATTGTGAAACTTGCACAGATATCATGTATACATTTAATTTTAAATTTTTTTTAAAAAAAGAAAACTTTTTTTTTTTTTTTTTTTTCAACCAAACCTTGGTGTGCCTTTTGAGTATTAGGATGTAATGCCAGATCCAGCCAAACTAAATTTAGAGATGTAGATTTACATAAGTATAGGTATGGGGTGAAATTGAAAACCCATATGATGAAGGTTCCAGTGGTGTCTTGTCTCTGTTTGCATACATATCTGTTACAAAGGCAGTTGAGCCTCTAAAGTTTACCATGTGCGGTGTGAATTTTGACTCATTCCTGATGTGCTGGCTAATATTTGGTCAGTGGGTGGCCCTGCTGTCCCTGCTCCTTTTTGAAGCGCCCTGCTAGAAAGCCTTCTGCTGAATAGCGGCTGCATCCAGACTGATGCACCCACTATGCGGGTATTTTGATGACTGCAGGACAATGGCCACAGTGGGAGATTCATTCATCTGCGCTGCATTTAACCCGCAAGCCGAATGAAGGAGAAAATGATCAGAGTATGGCCAGAAAACAGTTGCATTGGGATAACATTCTAAATAGCAGAACTCCACCCAAAACGAGTATGTTCCATTTTGTTTGGGCCTGTGTATGAACAGTGGCTTCTTCAATTACAAGGGGAACTTGTATACAAAGAAACCTGATCATGCAGTGGACTCATCAGTGCCTCCCAACTTGACCATTGAACATATTCCATATTCTGGTTCAGATATGTTGATGTAGACATCTGAAGCAGAAAGTTTCCATGTACAAACCTTCACATAATCCTTCAAATATGCAGATGGTAGTATCATGTTCACCTGAGATAATGCACATCAAAAAGCACATCAACATGGATGCTGATGTGTATAGGAAACCAGCCTAGTCTCTGTAACTTCAACCACCCAGTATAACACAAGCTAGGGGTTTTTTAGTACCGTGTATCACTGGTCTGAAATGGTGACAACCAACCCTGTGTCTAAGGACAAGGAAAATATTTGGAAACCTTGTGGAAAAGCTTGTGGTACCCCTAAAGAGCAGAGCATTTGTCTGCATGTGTGGAATAAGTGCAATTTTATGTGTGTTCCACAATGCACAGTAACGTGAACCAAGCCTTGGACAGGGGTGCCTTGTGACTGAAAATACTTTTCAAGGGTGCCCAGACTGGAAAAAGGTTAAGAAACACTGGGTTACATAAGTGCTAAAAGTTTTTATGAACACATTTTCAATTCTAGATATACCGTGGCCTGTCAGTGAAATATCAATTAAATTAAAAGAAATACATTATTAAACTCAACTTTGCATATTAAGACTCCATGCACACTAGCGGTTTTGTTTTGTTTTATTTTTGTTTTTTGCTCCTAGAAGCCAGTAGTGTTCTCCTATGTATCCATGCACACTACTCTATGCTACAAGTATTTTTCAAGCCTCAACGTTTAGGAGCAGAAAAAAAAATTGTTTTTGGGAGCATTTTTCCGGCAGAAAAAATGCTACTAAACCGCTACGAACAGCTTTTACCGAGAGTTTTTTTGGTTTTTTTTCTATTCATGTACTGTAAAAACGCTAATGCTTTAAAACTACTACAAGCAGGCACAAAAATGCTATTATATCAGTGTTTTTCATTCAGCATATTTTTTTTCTGTATTTTTTGAGCTTATAAAAATGCTAGTGTGTGTGGAGCTAGTAGAGCTTGCATCACTTTGTTAAAGTGGAACTTTACCCATAACAATGTGAACAGAATTATGTTCTTTAACAAGGAACATACATTCCACATTAATGAATATTCTACCAAAATTTGTGTGTGCTGTAAATTGCTTCCAGCATTGTTCCTGTTTCTTCTTGCTGGAGGCTGCCATTTTGCTGAAGCTCAGAGCCCATGAACAGCAGTAAATCTTTAGGCTGTCAGAAAATCGGCCTCTAGACTTTCAAGAGCAACTGATCATGTGCAGAGCAGAGTGAGACGGTGTATTAGTGGATTTTAACCACTTTCCCACTGCCCTATAGCAGATATACTGCTACGGGGCAGCAGGGGCACGCAGAATCGTGTGTGTGTATATATGTATATGTGTGTGTGTATATATATATATATATATATATATATATATATATATATATATATATATATGTGTGTGTGTGTATATATATATATATATATATATATATAATATATATATATATATATACACACACATACATACATGATCTTGCATTTCCGGGCAGGGGGCCCACGCCGCTATTCACGGTCTCGGCTGTCAATCACTGGGTCCCGCCCCGGTGATTACTTGCCGGCACCTGGTGATCACCAAGCATTACCGACAGAGGGAGAGAACTGTATGTAAACAATACAGTTCTCTCCCATGTTAGCTCCTGCACACTGCTTTGTATGACTGTGTATAGCACAGTCATGCAAAGCAGTGTGCTTACAGTTGAAAGCACTAACACAGCACACAGTAAAACAGGGCACAGTTAACCCTTTGATCACCCTTCATGTTAACCCCTTCCTGCCCAGTGCCATTAGTACAGTGTTAGTGCTTTTTATTAGCACTTATCACTGTATTGGTGTCACTAGGGATGTCAGTGACACCAAGTCAGTTCCCACCAGTGTCAGAATACCTGCCGCAGTCCCGCTATAAGTCGCTGATCGCTGCCATTACTAGTTAAAAAAAATTCAAAACTATTGTTTTTTTTCTCTCAACATTGTCGATTTTTTTTTTTTTTTTGTAGCTCAAAAATAAAAACCGCACAGGTGATAAAATACCACCGAAAAAAAGGAAGTACGTTTAATTTGGATGCAGTGTTGCATGACCATGCAATTGTCAGTTAACCACTTTGCCTACCAGGCACTTATACCCCCTTCCTTACCAGGCCAATTTTCACCTTTCAGCGTGAATTTGATTGACAATTGCGCGGTCATGCAACATTGTACCCATATGAAATTTTGATCATTTTTTTCTCACAAATAGAGCTTTCTTTTGGTGGTATTTAATTGCCACTGGGCGCTTTACTTTTTGCGCTATAAATAAAAAAAGTGCAAAAAATTTGAAAAAAAAAAAAATTTCTTTGTTTCTATTATAAAATTTTTCAAACAGGTATTTTTTCTCCTTCACTGATGTGCGTTGATGAGGCAGCACTGATGGGCACTGATAGGCGGCACTGATGGGCACTGATAGGCAGTACTAATGAGGTGGCACGGATAGGCGGCACTGATAGACAGCACTAATGAGGTGTCACGGATAGGCGGCACTAATATGCAGCACTGATAGGCGGCACTGATAGGTGACACTGATGATGGGTACTGATAGACGGCACTGACTGACATCACTGCTGGGCACTGACTGGCGGCACTGACTGGCACAACCCCTGGGCACTGACTGGTGGCACTGACTGGCAGCACTGCTGGGCTGCACTGGTGGGTGGCACTGGTGGGCAGCACTGGTGGGTGGGCACAGGTGGGTGGCACTTCTGGGCACAGGTGTGTGACACTGCAGGGTGGCACAGGTGTGTGACACTGCAGGGTGGCACAGGTGGGTGCACTGCTGGGCACAGGTGGGTGCACTGCTGGGCACAGGTGGGTGATCTGCTGGGCACAGGTGGGTGGAGCTAGTGGGCGCACTGCTGGGCACAGGTGGGCGGAACTTGCGGGTGGCACTGCTGGGCACCGATCATCAGGGCACTGATCATCAGTGCCCTGATGATCGGTGCCGATCCCCGCTCTGACAACTGCCGGTTCTCGGCAGTACTTTCCTCACGATCTGACAGCGTGAGGAAAGTGCAGCCGAGAACCGGCACTTGCATTTCCCTGTGATCAGCGTGTCATTGGACACCGCTGATCACGTGGTAAAAGGCCGCTGTGATTGGCCTTTTACCACATCACGTGATCAGCTGTGTCCGTAGGACACAGCGATCACGGAGATCGCCGGGTGTGCGCCCCCTGGGGCGCGCAGGAGAGCGCGTTCTGGGAGGACGTCATATGACATCCACTCAGAACTGACGTCATATGACATCCACTCAGCAGCCGTCATTCGGCTATCTGCGGTCGGCAGGTAGTTAATGTAATGCAGCGCCGTAATGCAAAGAAATGGCCTGGTCAGGAAGGGGGGTAAATCCTCTGGAGGGCAAGTGATTAAACAGTATAGGTACATATTTTTAATGTTTTTACATAGCTATAACCTGCAAAGGAGCCAGCCTGAAGTAATCTATCATGACTTCTTTTTCTGGTTAAAGTTCCACTTTATGCTGTTTTACAATGTCTTAAATATTGGAACAAGTATGCATATTAGAATGTTCAAATGCTAGCTTTCAATTTGTGAAGTAAATGCTGAAACTAGGAATAGCCAGCCGCCTATTATTTTCAAGTAGTCAGATACAGCAGTCTCCATATTTCTTTAATATTTTGTTTCCTTTCCATGTATCAGGGGTGCATCTAACCTACTCAGTCTGTTTTCTTGGTGCAGGGAATAGTCATTGGCACTGGAGAAAATTCAGAATTCGGGGAGGTCTTTAAAATGATGCAAGCAGAAGAGGTGAGTTATGTTTATGAACCACTGGAAGCTTTAATATTAAAAGGTAACTACAATTTGAAATACATCCTGCCTCCCATAAGATTCCTCTTTTTTTTTGCCTTCCTCTAGATCAGTGTTTCTCAACTCCAGTCCTCATGGACCCCCAACAGGTCATGTTTTCAGGATTTCCATTATTTTGCACAGGTGATTTGATCAGTTTCACTGCCTTAGTAATTACCACAGCTGTTTCATCTGAGGGAAATCCTGAAAACATGACCTGTTGGGGGTCCATGAGGACTGGAGTTGAGAAACACTGCTCTAGATCAACTGTGGGTGTAGGATTATAACTTTATTTTTTTTTCTATGGTTGAACTGGATGGACTTTTGTCTTTTTTTTTTAGCCATCCTAACTATGTAATAAATCTCTTGTTGTAATATTAAGCTTTAGATGCAGCACTACCTTGTTCAGGCTGCCATGTCCATAGAACTTTTGGAGCCTCCCGGATGCTGCAGTCTGTGAAATATGGTACATTAACGACATCATCCCTCAAAGAATAATGGGCCACCTGTCTAAATTCTCAGACAAGTTAATGTGCTGCCCATTTACTTCTTTAGCAGACACCCTTGTGTTTGTCATTGTTAGCAGTTGGCTGGCTCTATGCAACCTTCAAATGATGTTCAGCCACAGCAGCCTGAATAGGAGGTAGGCTGCATGTGAGGTCTGATATTACATATCTTAAGGGAGGCAATGCTATTCATACTCTGGATTCTTGTTCAATGTAGACAACAAGCTTTTTCTTGCATCATGACCCTTTATTGTCATACTGTACAAAGAATACATCCACATTGTGGTTCTAATTCTAGGGCCAACTTTTTTTTGATGCACAAGATAGGTGGCTGCCTCTACTCAAAGTTGCTTATCAAAAAAGTGAATTGGACTCCGATACTTTAAAAGATTAAAATCCAATGTATTGTTCTAAAGTGAGCTATTGAGGGGGTGATACTTGTTATAGGTAGAGATGCACTGAAATTTTGGTGGCCGAAAACACCCCTTTTGGCCATTGGCCGAAATGGAAAAAAGCACCGATATAGGTGCCTAAAAAACCTCGCCGCCGATCTCTAGTAGTTCCCAGCCTAACCTGAGAAACCATTGATCCCGGCACTGGGCATAGAGATGAGTGAAGGAAAGATGGCCGCCACTCATCTCTATGCCCTTGGAGGGCAGGAGTGATGTCACCTCCTGTTCCGGCCACTTCTTTTTTACAGCACTAGATCAATGCTTTTTTTTTTTTTTTTTTTTTTTTTGGGATCCAATGCTTTACATTGTAGAGGAGAGATGTTGGGTCTTATTGACCCCATATCTTGCCAAAAAGAGGACTTGTCACTAATTATTTATTCATGCATTTCTTTTGATAAGAATAGAAGTGATAAGATAAAAGGGACAGTGCAAAAAAAAAAAAAAAAAGTTTAAAGTGCCCCCCTGCTCACACGTGGTGAACACATACGTAGGCTATGCCCAAATATATAAATGGTGTTCAAACCACACACGTGAGGTATCGCCATGAACGACAGAGCAAGAGCAATAATTCTCACACTAGACTTCCTCTGTAACTTTACACTGCTAACCTGTAGAAATGTTTAAAGCATCACCCATGGAGTTTACGTACCTCAGTTTCACGCCATTCCACGAGTGTGCGCAATTTTAAAGCGTGACATGTTGGGTATCTATTTACTCACCATAGCATCCGCTTTCATATTTTACAAAAAAATTGGGGTGTATATTGTGTGTTTTTTGTTTAATCAGTGTATTTTTTTTCCTAAAAATATATATTCATTTTTAAAAACTGCACGTTTCGGTTTTCGGCCAAGTGCATTTTGAATTTTTTCGTTTCGGTATCCAAATTTTCATTTCGGTGCACCACTAGTTGTAGGAGTAATTTACAAGCCATTTAGTGTTTTGATTTGTAAATTTTTTTTTTTTAGATGTGCTCTTTATGTGTGCATGTATGTTTGCATACATTTTAAATATCTTTCAAAGAACAGGCATACATTTTTTGTAGAAAATAGAAAGCAAGAAAAAGCAGTTATATTTGTAAAGGTGTATTATTGATCTTGCATTGGCTAGACTGTAATACAAAGTATAAACCTAAAGTCTATCTAAAAATGAGTTCTAGAAATGTGAAGTTTAGAGAAGGAATGTCGTGTCAGCACCTGCATGCATTATATTATAAACCTTACAACATAGATAAAATGCCTTTTTCCCTTTTTCCTTGTTTATAAGACTGCAAAACAAAAAAAATGTTTCATATATGTTATAATAGTTGTAATTCATGGAAAAGAATATTAAATTGTGTTGATGCACATCCTGATGCATGTCTACACAATTCATGTAAACCCACCATGATGTGTGTTATGGCATATGTTGATGTCCAATAAATTGCATGTTGAAACCTCACAACAAAAATTGATGTGCTTTCCATGGAAAACTTATCAGTGGAAAAAATTCATAGGTGTGAACCAGCCTTAAAGAATAATTCTAGGCATTGGTAGGTTATACCCTACCTAGCCAATATTACTGGATGCTGGAAATCTCTGACGTAGACTGCTAATTTAGTGATCTCCACATGTTTCAGGGTCTTGTGCTGAGTGGCTGCACCTCTGCTTACTGAACTCGGGAGCTTAGGTACTTGGCATGGGCGCCGTTCAGAGAATGCTTTGCAATTTTTGTATTTTTTTTTGGGGGGGGGGAATTTATTTCTGTACAGAACATGTGCGAGCAGGTTTAGGTGGTGCCAGACTTGTTAGCAACATCTAGAGTGTCATAACTGGGAGCAAGACGAATGTGTGCTGCCTTCTCACCGCCTGGCCTAATGAAGGTGTTCACTTTGGCCGCATCAATGTCACACAGCTTCTTCACTGCTTCTTTAATCTGGTGCTGGTTTGCTTTGACATTGGAAATGAAAACCAGAGTGTTATTGTCCTCACGCTTCTTCATAGCAGCTCAGTGGTCAGAGGGAACTTAATGATGGCATAATGGTCAAGCTTATTCCAAGGGCACTTTTCCTTGGATTGCCTTCTCAGCCTCAAGGTTTTGGGTCTACGGAATGTAGGAGAGGTTCGGATTTTCTTGTAATGGTGTACTTCTTTTAACACAGCTTTTTTGGCCTTCATAGCCTTAGACTTTGCTTCAGTCTTGGCAGGGACAGACAGGTGTCTACTGTCATTACATATTCTTGAATGAATACAAAGCAATCTCTGATTGGGCAAGGTGAAGTGGTGAGATTATGCTCTCCACTTTGTCCAGAGAATGTTTTGCATTCTTTTATAAAATGCAGTGCATTATCTGAATTGTACCTGTGTCAAGCAGCTGACCTCCTTTATTCACACTGCACCAGAGCAGCCGCTCAGTGTGGGACCCAAGAGCAAGTGTTCACTGGAGTAGTGGCTTTTGCTTCAGTATTTAACAGCTTCCAGGGGCATTACCCAGGCATGATATATACATACTGTTGACTGTTTTTTCACAATACAGTGGATATACAAAGTCTACACACCCCTGTTAGAATGTCAGGTTTCTGTGATGTAAAAAAAAAAAATGAGACAAAGATAAATCATTTCAGAACTTTTTCCACCTTTAATGTGACCTATAAACTGTACAACTCAGTGGAACAACAAACTGAAATCTTTTAGGTGGAGGGAAGTAAAACTAAAAAAAACTAAAACAATATGGTTGCATAAGTGTGCACACCCTTAAACTAATACATTGTTGAAGCACCTTTTGATTCTATTACAGCACTCAGTCTTTTTGGGTATGAGTCTATCAGCATGGCACATCTTGACTTGGCAATATTTGCCCACTCTTCCTTGCAAAAACACTCCAAATCTGTCATATTGTGAGGGCATCTCCTGTGCACAGGCCTCTTCAGATCACCCCACAGATTTTCAATGGGATTCAGGTCTGGGCTCTGGCTGGGCTAATTCAAAACTTTAACCTTGTAGTGAAGCCATTCCTTTGTTGATTTGGATATATGCTTTGGGTCATTGTCATGCTGAAAGATTAAGTTCCTCTTCATGTTCAGCTTTCTAGCAGAAGCCTGAAGGTTTTGTGCCAATATTGACTGGTATTTGGAACTCTTCATAATTCCACCCCAAAGCATGATGCTGCCACCACCATGCTTCACTGTGGGTATGGTGTTCTTTTGGTGATGTGCAGTGTTGTTTTTGCGCAAAACATATCTTTTGTAATTATGGCCAAAAAGTTCATCATTGGTTTCATCAGACCATAACACAAATTTCCACATACTTTTGGGAGACTTCAGATGTGTTTTTGCAAAATTTAGCCGGCTTGGTGGTTTTTCTTTGTAAGAAAAGGCTTCCGTCTTGCCATTCTACCCCATAGCTCAGACATATGAAGAATACGGGAGATTGTTGTCACATGTACCACACAGCCAGTACTTGCCAGATATTCCTGCAGCTCCTTTAATGTTGCTGTAGGCCTTTTGGTAGCCTCCCAGATCAATTTTCTTCTCGTCTTTTCATCATTTTTGGAGGGACGTCCAGTTCTTGGTAATGTCACTGTTGTGCCATAATTTCTCCACTTGATGATAACTGTCTTCATGTGTTCCATATATCTAATGTCTTGGAAATTCTTTTGTACCCTTCTTCTGACTGATACCTTTTAACAATGAGATCCCTCTGATGTTTTTGAAGCTCTCTGCGGACCATGGCTTTTGCTGTAGGATGCGACTAAGAAAATGTCGGGAAAGACCTACTAGAAAAGCTGAACTTTATTTAGGGTTAATCAGAGGCACTTTAAATGACAGGTGTGTACTGAGTCCTATTTAGCATGATTTTTAATTTGATTACTTAATTCTGAACACAGCTACATCCCCATTTATAAGAGGGTGTGCACACTTATGCAACCGCATTATTTTAGTTATTTTATGTTTACTTCCCCCTTAAAAGATTTCAGTTTGTTTTTTTCAATTGATTTGTACAGTTTATAGATAACATTAAAGGTGGAAAAAGCTCTGAAATTATTTATCTTTGTCTCATTTTTTTACATCACAGAAACCTGATATTTTAACAGGGGTGTGTAGACTCTTTATATCCACTGTACCTCTGCTCCCCTTTTACATGCAGTAACTATGCTGCATCAGCACAATATGGAACACAGCAAAGGGTACTTTGCCAAGAACACAATAGGCTATGCTATTCTCTTCAGTTCAAAGCACTTCTCAAGACATTCTCATGTAATCATGCCACTGTTGTACTCAAGTGCATAAATGGGTTATCCTGCATCTTGCTGGTTTCTGACAGCTCAACAATGTGGCACCAATTTAGATGGCATGTCGTTTGCCAAAATTCTTCCATTCTCAGAGTATAAAACAAAATCTTTTGAACAACCTAAGCCACATGATAAAGTATATACAGTTTTTATAATCCATTATAGGAAAAGTCAGTAAGCTGTTGCAGAAATCACAAATTATATCTAGTTAATACATTTTCCTCCATTCTTTGTATGGGGAGAGCAGATTATATGTAGTACTGACTTTATCTGGTCACCCCAGAAGTTAAATTAAAGTGATCCTGCAGCAGAAACTCCATAGAGAGAAATAGAAGACGCTCCTACTGCATTGTGCATTTGTGAGATGTACATTTTCCATGTGGGTGACCCAATGACCTTTAAAATGTTATATTGTCCTTTATAGTACTTCGGCTTTGCCAGTGGTTAGTTATTGTATTCAGTGATCGTTTTCTGTGCAGCAATATGCCAGTCATATTAGCAAACAGTAAGACATTTGTTGCCTATGTGAGCCATGTTGTTATGCAGCCTTGGGCATGCGAGTAGCCCCACATTTTCTATTTCTGCTTTGCCAGATGGTCAATTAGAAAACCACACGCAGGCCATTTTCATGTTGCGTTTATGCATCAGTTTGTTGATTCATAATGGAGATAACATTTTCTTTCTCTAGGCACCAAAGACTCCACTGCAGAAAAGCATGGATATTTTAGGACAGCAGCTCTCCTTGTATTCTTTTGGTATAATAGGTGAGTATATATTCTGTACAGCCTTCTGCCTTCCTTCCCCCTAGCAGTGTGGAGTGTTTATCATCTGTGGTTCAGTTATTGTCAATCAATTATCAGAGCAGAAAGTAATATCTTGTTTTCAGGGGGTGTTGGGAGGTATTTTTGGCTCATTCATCTTGGCTGCTTTCCATTTGCCTGTACAGAACATCACACATTATTATGAATTAAAGCACGGCATCTCTCTTAGGAAGATGGCACATTTAATATCACGCCACTCATATTTGTTATCTTCATTTGTTCAGAAGCTGTATTTCTCATAGTTGTAAATTCAACGCCACCTGCTATACTTCCAGATATAGTCATGCTTTTATGAGTTATGTATTGCTTTTTTTTTTGTTTTTTTAGGTATTATAATGCTGGTAGGATGGCTACAAGGGAAACATATACTCGATATGTTCACAATTGGAGTAAGGTAGGGGACTTGCATATCTGCACCTGCAATTCCTACAACTCCTTGTAGAGAGGAACAATTTTTAAAGTAAACCTGTCACCTGAGCATATAATTAAAATGCATAAACAATTGTTACCTTTAGTAAGCCTCCGTTCACACTAGAATGTGGTGCGAGAAACCCATGATCCATGAGTGTTTCCCACACCGTATTCAAGTCACATTGCTTTACGATCTGCAGCAGGTGTCGGTGCAATCACAACGACACCCCAAACGCAGGTTGTAAAAGCATTGCCTTTGCCTGCATCGGATTGCATAGTACAAATTGACCCTGCGATCCAGTTGCACTGTGTTCCCCAGATTGCTGCATGCAAGACTTTTGTTGTGAATTTCTAGTCTGTGGTTCTGTTTGATAATGTCCTTTTAAATCCATTTTGCTGTAGCCGGGACCTGACTACGTGTATTACTTTTTTTTTTCTCCTTTTTGAAAGTGGGATTCCCATTTTACCCTCTACTAAAGTGTATTGCCACACTGACTTGTAACTTAAAGCAGAACTTCATCCAAAAGGTCTTGCCTGCATCCTTCCCTCCTCTTCTTTAATATTTGGCACTTTTTGTGATGGGGGCAAGCAGATACCTGGTTTTGACAGGTGCCCATTGCCCTTTGGATCACCTTGGCGATCCAAGCAGAGGTTTACTGCCTTCCTCGCAGCCTTCTGGGACATGTCACAAGTCCCAGAAGACTACAGAACCATTCACAAAACGCAGTGGGAAATCTGCTGTGAAGCCACAAGGATTCACTACCGGTTTTTGTTAGTTAAGAGGCCTGCATTGGACCCCAAGCCGATTGAAAAATTGGCTCAGGTGAGGACAGCGCTGGCTGTCTGGGCAGGTATGTGTCATTATATTAAAAGTTACATCTTTTTTTTGGGGGGGGGGGGGGAGTGTGGAGCTCCTTTTTTACATCCATCAATCATAAAAGTGGATGGGGACTAAACTTTGTGCGATGTCATATTGTAACTAGGTACATGTTTGTGCAACACCTACATTCATGAATACAGCTGCTGTTTCTTTTGGGTTCATTTACACAGGCAGCTTGAGGAGGGGGGGGGGGGGGGTAAAATCAGGTGGTAATTGGTGGTTTTACCAGTAGATAGGAAGTACTAAACCCTGTGAATCTCCCCAACCCCCTAAAGAGGAAGGGGGAGAGAAACCACAGAAAAATGGGAATTTTTAAGGTGCAGTCAAATACAAACCAGAAAATAATATATAGTTAGTTTTATTGATACAAATTTTCAAAATTATTTCTTTATTATAAATATCCCAATAAAATATAATATACAAGGTACAGATTAGATACTAAATATATCTGAAGAGTCGAAGTGCATAAAGATCTATGCGTTTTGCCCCTAAAAAGGGCTTCTTCAGGTTCCAATTTGTTACTACAACATATCTGCTTGTGTAACTAATAAACAAAATGATAATCAAAAAGTCAAATACATACCAAAAACATAAATAATAATATACACAAGAATTACAGTAGTGGCAACAATATCAGATCTACATTGCATCATTATATGAGACTCAAATGAAAAGCAAAAAAAAAGGAAGGAGAGAGAAATAAACCACAACTTTTTTTGTTTTGTTTTTTTTCTTTTTTATGCACTTCGACTCTTCCAATCAAGCTCATATATTTAGTATCTAATCTGTAGCTTGTAAATTATGTTTTTATTGGGAGAATTATAATAGGGGGAAACATTATTTTTTTTTTAATTTCTCTTAATACAATTGTAATTTTATATTTTCTGGTTTATATTTGACTGCATCTTCAAAATCCCCATTTTCCATGATTTCTCTCTCCCTTCTCTTTGGGGGGGAGGTGAGATTCATGGAGTTTACTACTTCCTATCTACTGTGCATTTTGGGATGGTACTTTTCATAAGGTTATTGATAAGGCCCCCCATCTGTTTCCTGGTGGTTTTGTCACCCTCCCCCCAACTACCCACCTAAATAAAGCAATGCAGCCACTCAGGGTTTTACTCCTTCCTCATTCCGTGGCCACAGCAACAGTTAAATTGAACATCACATTCAACAGACGGTACCACCACTGAGCACAGCCTATTCAAGGTAATAGGGCTACTCTGTAATCATGTGCAATGCACGCAGTTGTGATGTGGTGTTGTGTCACTGTGAGGGACATATCGCCTCCTCACCGCTTGACAAATGCCCTTTGAAAAGCGATCCACCACAGGTTGCTTTCAAAGGAGCAACCAAGCTAGCCACACAAGTGAACAAGCCCTTACAGTTGCCACTGTCTGATCTGTTATGTGATTTATTTGTGTTACATTGGACGGTTAGAAATACTAAAATCTTTCTTAAAAAAAAAAAAAAAAAAAAAAAAAAAAAAGCCAGCATGAGATGAAATATAATTTTGTTTATTTTTTTCTGTTTACAGTCTGGCTGTCGCAGCTATCCCTGAGGGACTACCCATTGTGGTAACTGTAACACTGGCACTTGGCGTGATGAGAATGGTGAAAAAAAAGAGCTATTGTGAAGAAATTACCCATTTAGAAACACTTGGTATGAATCCCAGATGAAATTACCATATCATGTTCTGCATTTTATGAATCCCTTTAGGCCTAGTGTACTATCTGCAGTCTTCAGTGTTGTTTAAAATGAAGATCAATGATTCACTGAGAAGTCAGTACTTTACAGTTATAGGGACATAGTGTTTAAAAATACATTAGAGTGTTAATATTGATTTAGAGTGAATCTGTCCATGATGAAAAATGGGCAACTATTACAGGTCCCTATGAGCAAGCAATGCAACTGCATAAGCAGTTCTACGTTTAGTTATATCCCGTTCCTCTCTTCGATTTACCTTCAGGGGCCTTAGGGCTGCACAGAAGATGATTTGATCATAAGTACAGGTGCATGTAGACATTTTATGGAACCGCTCTAGAAGGAAACCTTCCCCAAATAACATGGAGGTTGCCAGTGCTGGCTTGCTGTTATGTAAATTCTTGTTGCCTGTCATTCTGAATCCTTCTGCACTTTCAGTCACTATGTGACTGTCACACATATATTTCCTGTGGTTCACGGACTCAAAGATATTTTTTAATTGCCTGCTAGCTGACAGCATAGACCTTGTACATTTATGCGGCTCTCTGCTGTACTGTGTAGATTTCTCCTGTTAAGGCAGTCCAGAGTCCTTACGTCTTCTACTGCCCTCAGTAGTATTACCTGCTAATACTTAATTTATTGTTCTTTTGATAGGTTCACTTTAACTTAAGCTGAAGTACATTCTTATACCTGCCTTTTGTGAGTTAAGTGTGAGCAGGGGCGGACTGAAAACTCATGGGGCTCTCAGGCAATAGGGAATCATGGGGCCCCTGTGTCCTCGCCCACATTCAAACCACACCCAAAAAAGCCTATGAATGTTAACAGGGCATCTCATGGGGCCATCTACTGACCCCAGGCCCTCGGGCAGTGCCCGAATGGTCAGTCCGCCCCTGAGTGTGAGCTTAAAAGTATTTGTAAACCCTTGCATTCTGTAAACCCAGTGAAGTGACTGGCCTCAGGTGGTACACAGAGATGTGAAACAAAATCCTCCTACATAAGAGGCACCTGTTTTTCCAGAATTTTCTCTACATCTGTTCAAAGTCCTGTGTTTATAAAGCTTTTCTGAGCTTTCAGAAAACAGGAGACAAGGAGCTGAAATTATACACTGCAGAGCTCAGTGAGGAGAGCTCTGAGAGTTGATTGGAGGGAAAGGACGTAGCCACCCTTCACATAGCACACAACAACAGAACTGATGCTGTCAATCGCTGGCTGTGTGTTGGAGGTCTTTCCCCTGTCACCATTTTTCTCATTGTGTCAGAAAAATGTATCAGAATTGACTAATGTTGATGGCGGAAGAACGTGGCAGCAGAAAGAAAAGACATTTAATGCTCTGGATAAAGACCCATACACACTATAGAGGGGTATGCTTTGTTCATATTTCATATCTGAGTTTTACAAACCACTTTAACACCTTTCACAAGAAACATTTTCAGCACATACATTTAGAAACTATGAAAAGGATGTAATCCATTATTGCAATTTTAATCTCAATATATCCTAAAAGTACCTGGAACATTCTGAATGTCAAATTACATATTATAGCATTAAATGCTATATTCTCACATAATAACTGTTGTGGTAAAACTAGAGGTGGAAATATTGTCTCTTTAATACCCTTGCGTGATAGAATGGGTGTCCGTTCACAAAGCAGTAGTTTATCTGAGGAAGGCTTGTAGTGGTTGTCGCATTTAACTGGACTTGTTCTTTAAAGGCATTGTACACTTTCAAATGTGTTTTGTTGTTTTATCTTGGTATCAGTGTAGTTATATTCTTTTGTTCTATTCCTTGTTGTTTGTTTGCCTTAGCTTGTAATCATGAGATTGCACTTTGCAGCGTTGTGGGTAAGTGGTTAGCATTTCTGCCTGGCAGCATTCGGTTCATTGGTTCAAATCCCAACCATGACACTAACAACCTGGAGTTGGCACATTCTCCCTGTGCCTGTGTAGGTTTCCTCAGGGATACTCTGTATTCCTCCCAGACTCCAAAGACATTCTGGTAGGTTAATTGGCCCCTGATTACATTGGACCCAGTATATGTATGAATGTGAATTAGGAACCCTAGATGTAAGGCTCTTGAGGGCAGGAACTGATGTGAATGTACGATATACAGGGGTTAGATAAAAAATGGAAACACTTTTATGATTTGCAGGTGTGAAAGTGAGGATATGTTTCACATTGAAAGCGGAAGTGATATAACATTCTTTTGCTTCAGACCAATGAAGACTGAGATTGAGCTCTGCAGTCACTTTTGCAGCAGTTGCTTTCTTATTCCGGGTCACAATCCTGCGCAATGTCCTCTTTGTCTCTTTCAGTCAGTTCACCATGTCGACCGTGCTTATGCTTATCAGATAAGTTTCCCGAAAACTGTATATGCCGTCATAACCTTTGATACTGTACTTCACGACACTGCAAATAAATTGGCAACTTCAATCACAGAGGCACCAGCTAAGCAGGCAACAACAATTTCCACTCTTTAACCACTTGCCCTCTGTAGAGGATTTACCCCCCTTCCTGACCAGGCCATTTTATGCTGTTCGGCACTGCACTATTTCAACTGGTAATTGTGCGGTCGTGCAATGGTGTACCCAAACGAAATGTATGTCCTTTTTTCACACAAATAGAGCTTTCTTATGGAGGTATTTGATCACCTCTGCGAGTTTTATTATTTGCGCTATAAACAAAAAAGACCGAAATTAAAAAAAAAACCAAAACAATATTTTCACATTTGGTTATAAAAAATATCTTTGGTAAAAAAAATCTCAATACGTGTATATTAATTGGTTTGTGTGAAAGTTATAGCGTCTACAAACTATGGTATATATTGGAATTTATGTAGCTTTTTCTACTTTTTGTAATGCCCATGTGGAGGGTTAGGCCTAAAAGAGTTTTAAATTCAGAAACAGTGATAGGTTTCCATGAGAATTGTCTGGCAAGAGCTGAATTTGGGTGGGTGGGGCGATGTATTGTGTGTTTAAATTGCCTTGGTCCACAATCAATTGGTACAAATCTTTTTCGTGAAAAACAGTGGAAGGGCTAAACGCTGGTGCTGGCAGCGAGCGGGGTCGATCCTGCTAACTCTGCGTTTTTGGGGAGACTATGCAAAGGAGGCACTAGTATAGTTCTGTACGTGGTCAATATCCTGATCCGTACAAACACTATACTAGTAATGGCGGTGATCAGCGACCTATAGCGTGAGTGCGATAGTGTGCAGGCAATCTAATGCTAGCTGACCCTGGCTGGTAGGGGAGCTTACTGACCCTGACGTTATGTGATGTCACTAGTGGCAGTAATACAGTAATCAGTGAAAAATTCTGACACTCTACTTATGGCACTGGTTGGGTAATGTGATCAAAGGGTTAATAGGGGCGATCAAAGGGTTAAATGTGCTAATCTACCGTGGGTGTGTAAAATGTAGTGGTGATTTTGCTCAGTGCTGTGTTCTCTTCTCTCTTATTTTTTAAAATAATTTTATCAGAATAGTACAATGTTACCATAGTAACATTGTACTATGAGATTGATTCATAACAGCTTTACTTACAATGTGATTGCATAATGATCACTGGGTCCTGTTCACCGGGATCTTCATTCTGCTGTGTCCAGAGGGCGTTGTGCCCCCTTGTGTTAGTATAGCCAGAGCGACGTATGGGTACGTCACTTGGCCTGTAGCTGCCGCAGTACACTGTGGGCGGGTGGGAAGTGGTTAAAGCTCCGTAAACTCTGACATGACTCCGTATTTGTAGCAGCGCGCACAGTGAATGACAAAAGTCACCTGTTAGCTATGTGTCTCATCACACAGTGGAAGCAAAAGCATAATCATCACTTCCGCTTTCAACGTGAAATATGTCACTTTTATACCTGCAAATCATGCAGTGTTTCCTTTTTATTTTTTGTGTAGCCCCTGTATATGTAAAGAGCTGCATGGATTGTAGGCCCTACATGAGTACCTGTCATACCTATCTTGTCCCTCATAACCAAAAGGACAAACAACTTCTTATTCTTGGTCATATGTGTGCCTAGCCATTTCTGTGTTGCATCACAAATGTGTGAGTACTAATTTTCTGAAGCTAACACATCTCCTCTAGCTTGATAAGCTCTGCTAATAGCTTTCACCTGTACCAGCACTAGACTGAGAGACCCAGGGATTGTGGGCTATATGGTTTCTTCATAGAGAGACCCATGGATTGTGGGTTATTTCGTTTTTTCATACAGAAAGTCTTTGACTTTAGACAGAGGTCATGCATTAACCTGTGCAGTACCATGCCACATGCCTCATATTTCATACAAACAGAAATTTCGGACACAGGAATACGATAATTTACTCGACTATAGGCTGTTCATACAGATTAGAAATGACACCTAGAAACCTCTAATAAGTGCACATTTTATGCAGGTTAAAAAAAAAGGTGCATGTAGGAAGCTTTATAATGCCTATAATATTAAAGATGTTTTGCAGCTTATCCAAGCCACTTCTTAAATTCTGGTGAATGTCAGGCACACACTTGACCATCTGTAGTTGCAAAAGTAACTCAAGTCACATTATGTCGAGTGTGCCAAGACAGATGTTGATTGTCCAAGAACAGGATGGGAAGTGTGAAAGTTGTGGATTACATAATCCCATTCCTTGGTGTGAGTTAATGAGTTAATCCTTGTCTTTACATGGCTGAAGGTGAAGGTTGTTGTCAAATTGCCAGGCTAAAGATATTAAAGCGGAGCTCCACCCAAAAGGGTAAGTTCCACTTTAATGCTTTGTCCCCCGCTCTCCATTAAAGATTGGCACCTTTGGGAAGCGGGGGGTGCTGGTACCCGAATTTGACAAGTACCTGCTCCCACTTCCACTGCGGTTGCTTCCCTTCCCTCCACATAGTCTTCTAGGACATGTGACAGGTCCCAGAAGACTGCGGGGCCATTCACAAAGTGCAGCGCTTCTTGAGCATGCGCAATGGGCACCCGGCTGTGAAG